GCCCCACGGCGAGCGCAGAGGCCGGGGTGCGGGCCCCACGGCGAGCGCAGAGGCCGGGGTGCGGGCCCCACGGCGAGCGTCGGGGAATCCAGCTTTGCGTCCCGTGGAAAGGCCGGGTGAGGCGGTGCCGAGCGCGCTCCTCCCAGCATTTCCTGCTGTGTCTGTGTCCCGTGTCCCAAGAAACGTGGGCCCAGCCCCCCCCCATGTCCACGTCTCGAGGCCCGGGCCTCCGGGCTCACTTCCCGCCCTGGAAGCAGCCTGTGGTGGTGGAAGGCTGAAACGCCGAGGCCCGGGCCTCCGGGTTCACTTCGCAGCCTGCGGTGGTGGAAGGCTGAAACGCCACAGCCGGTTTTTGTGTCCGTGCCTGTCCCGGACACAGCACTGGGGCCGTCTGCGGGCGGGGCAGCGTCCAAGGCCCCGCCTGCCCAGCCTGAGTCCACCCGGCCCTTGCCCACCACCAGGTCCTGGGGGCCTCCCCGGCTCCTGGCACCTTGGGTCCGAGCCCTGCAGCAGGAGGAGGTTCAACGCCTCCCCCAGGCCCCGAGCGATGACAGGCCTCAGCTCCCCGCCCGGCCCAGGGAGCGGCCATGTGGCTTGCATTAGGCCGCATCTGGACACGCTCAGAGGCGGGGACGGCGCGGCTCCCTGGCGCGGCTCTGCTCGCAGCCCGGGCTGAGGCCATGGCGGGGAATCTCCTTCTCCAAGCCCCAGGGCTGCTATGGCAACACAGAACACAGATGGGGGTCACGGCTGGCCCCTGCCCCTCTTGGCAGGCTCCTCCCCAGCCAGGGCCCCTCCAGGCCTCAGCCCCCCCCCAGCCCTGGCCCCTATCAGCAGGCCCCGACCGCAGTCCAAACACGCTCCCCGCCCCCCCCCAGCCCCGCCTGAGGCCGGCACCCTGCTGACCTCACCCCGAGGCCGGGACCGGCCTTGGTTTCTCTAAGGCTCCCCACCCCATCCATGGGGCCCCCCAGGGAGAGGTGCACCCGCCTTGCTTGCTAGCACAACCCCGGCCCCGGCAGGGTCCCCGGGGCGGCTGGCACGCCGGTGACGGATGGCAGAGTGACCACAAACACCTCTAATGGCTCTACAAGACCTCCCCGTGCAAGCACTTAACACGGATTAGCTCGCTCATCCTCAGCACAGCCCACGACGCGGGGACCCCTGGCTGTCCACAGATGGTGAACCGGGGCCCCCGCGGGGCTGGCGCCGGTGCCCGCACCACCCCTCCCCTCCACACCCACAGAGCCGCAGCTGCCGCCTGCCGGCCCGCCCGGCCCCTTGGATGCTAGTCTCTGGGCCTTTGCACATGCTGGGCCGCTGCCAGAATAACCCTCAGGCAGATGTGGGCACGCAGTGGGGCCCACTCCCAGCAGCCACACCCCCAGATCCATCCGAGAAAGCCAGCACAGAGGAAAGCACCAAGGGGGAGTCCCAGGCTCAGGCTGAGGGGAGGGGGCGGGGCAGGGGGTTCCCCGGCCCAGCCCGGCCGCTGGGCCAGCAGTGCGGGCACAGGGAAGGGTGGCCAGGGGTGTGTCTGTCACAGTTCCCAGTCCCACCCTGCATGCCTCCCGCCCCCCATGGGCACACGTGGACTTCATTAGACCTCCCTCCTCCCTCTGGCATGCTCTCCCTCTTGCAGGCCCAGGGCTGGGTGGGGGCAGCGGGAGCCTGGGCCACGCACCCCTGCCGCACAGCCACACCGCATGGACCCCGCTCAGCTCAGGGCAGGAACCGCTCCTGGCTGGCGCTCTGCCGGGGGCAGAGGGCTGGAAACGCGGGCCGAGGGCTGGAGGAGCCAACAGAGACCCCAACTGGCCATACACAGGCCCTGAGGGCCCCACCCACACCAGCCAGGAGACTGGCCCCAGGCCACGCAGCTCTAGGGAAGATGGGAAGATGGCTAGGTCTCTCAGGCCCCCTCTTCCAGGAAGCCTTCCCAGACACCCTGGCCTACCTCCCTGCTGCAGCGCCCCTGGCCTGCTCCCAGATCACACACCACCAAGGTTTGTGCAGTGAAGGAATGACGAGACGCAGGCCCCGGAAAACACACCATGCCCGGAGCACCAGGCAGAGGAGGGAGAGAGAGGGCAGAGTTGGAAGAAGCGAGGCCCGACCCAGAGATGCGGGAAGGCGTCCTGGGCGGGGCTGGCACAGAGTGGAAAGAGTCTCAGAAAAGAGCTGAGAGTGTGGGCCGCCCAGGGAGCGGGAGGCGGCTGGAGCGAGGAGGTGACCAGAGAGGAGGTGACCAGAGAGGAGGTGGGCGGGAGGCCATGCGATAGAAAAACCATGTCCTGAAATGTCGGTCATCCCAAGAGAAAGTTAACAGAAGGGCGGCTGGTCAGGAAAGGCGCCCCCCCCACCGCCCTCCCCAGGCGGCCTGAGCCTGGAGGACAAGCCGTGGGCAAGGGGAGCGGTGAGTACAAAGGCCCCGGGGCAGAAAGGGGTCAGTGGGGCTGAGCAGCCTGGAGCAGGGAAAGGGACGGGAGAGGATTCCAGCAGCCACTGGCGCAGGGCCTGCGGCGGCGGAGGGGTCTGCTCCTACTCTGACTGAGGTGTGAGCGGCGGGGACGTGTGTGTCACAGGAATGGGGTCCCTGGCCGGGTTGTGGCTGAGTGGGAACCAGCCCCCTCCTCGGCTGTTGGCTCCATGCTGAGTGACGTTCTAGTGCACTGGGCACTCGGGGCACCGCCGGGCTCAGGCCTCCATGGGAGGGCATGCCCGGCAGGGCTGACCCATCCGCAAAGCCCCACGTTTCCTGCTGAGAGACCTGGAGACCCCACCAGGCTGGGTCAGACCCCCCCCTCCCCATGAGACTCACTCACGGATGTAGACGGGAGCCGCCAGCGGGGCAGGGAGCCCTGGCCGGGTGCTGCCACCGCGTGGGGCCGGGGCGGGGCCTGATCCTGACCCAGGAGCCCTGGGGCACGCCGAAGGGCCTTACCTTCGGGGCTGCCTCTGGGGACCGAATGCACGGAGTTGGGGTCCGTGTCCTCCTCTGCCTGGGGCCGGGGCAGCACCTGCGGGCGCTCGGGCTCCTCCTTGGGGACCTCCAGGGTGGGTGGGATCGGGGAAGCTGGGGATGCTGGTGCGGATGGGGTGGGATGGGTGCTGGGCACGTCTGGGCCCCTGGGAGAGGTGGGTGAGACCTGGGATGGGGCGGCTGCCCCCAGGCCGGAGCCGGGCGGGGCCCTGGCGCCCACCTGCCCACCGCCACGAGGCTCGGCCTGGGCTTCTGGGATAAGGTTCTCCTCGGGCCCTGCCTTGGCTTCCACCCCTTTCTCCTGGGAGGGGAGGCCAGGTCTGGGGGGGGCCGTGGTGGGCAGCCCGCCCGGCCCCAGGGGGCTGCTCGTGACAGGCTGCTTGGTGGCCACCTCCTCCCCCTCTTCTTCTTCCTCCTCCTCCTCCTCCTTGTCCTCCTCTTCCTCCTCCTCCCCTCCTTCATCCGCTTCTCCCGCAGCGCGCTCTGTCGCCATGCTGGCTTTGGCCTGCCTGGGGGCCGGGGGGCCCAGGGCAGCGGCTGCTGTCGGTCTGGGGGGGGCTGCTGGCCAGATGGTGGCACGGAAGGAGGCCAGGGGCTGGGCCCCTGCTCCCAGGGCGGCTGGGGGGGCCCCCGCCTGGGCCTCGCCTGCCAGGGCCGCCCCTAATTCCGCCTCGGCTGCCTCCTGGTCGTAGCTGTAAGGGTCTTCTTCATAGTGGCGCTCGGGGTCAGCCTCCTCCGTGTCTGAGATGTTCCCGTGGCAGCCCGGCAGCCGGTAGCAGATGAGCTCGCCCCCGGCGTCCGGGCAGTGGCAGGCGCGGCACGGGGACAGGTGTGCGGTGTGGCCGGCGGCGTACTTGCGGCCGCCGTGGACGCAGCCCAGCTGGCCGCACTGCGGGCAGCTGTCGGCCATCACCACGGCCTCGATGCAGTTGGGGGGCAGCTCAGGGCACAGCATGAACTGGCAGCTGATCCTGCCGCCCCCCGGCGGGCAAGAGCACTCGGTGCTGCCGAAATCCACAAAGTAGGAGCGGCCGGCGGGCACGCGGCCGTCCACGAAGCCCCCGCGCACGCAGTCGTAGTACTGGTAGCCCTCGCAGGCGCAGCCCTGCCGCACACACGAGGCGCAGCAGGCGCCCGGCTCCAGCGCCTCCTCGATGCAGTTCTCCAGCTGCGGGCACTCGACGCCCGTGCAGTCCCGCCACGGCACCGCCGCGCCGGGCCTCATGCTCAGGGCCAGGGCCAGGGCCAGCCAGGCCCCCGCATGCTCGCCGCGCCGCGCCGCCATCCCGTGAGGCCCTGCGGAGTGGAGAGAAGACCGGTCAGCGTGGGTCGGGGTGCACGTGGTGAGGGGGCAGGTGGATGGACGGGGGCACGCCACGGCACCCGTGGACAAGGCCACCTCCAGTCTCAGGGCGCACCGATCACACACACTCCCCGCTGGGAGACCACAGCGGTGAGCACGGGTCGACTCGGGTGCCACGGACGTGGGCGCAGGATCACCTGGGTGGCCCCACACCTGTTCCCTTGGGGTCCCTGGAGCCCCTTAGCGATCTGTCCCAGGCCCACGGCTCACACCGACAGGCATGCGCGGTGACATGCTACAGTACACGGGAGTCCAGATGCGCACACTCAGTGAGGCCAAAGAGGCTTCTCCCGGGGAGAAGCACAGAGGCACGAGGCCGCGCCTCTCACATTTACACACAATGACACCGATGGTGGGGCAAAGGCTGCAAAGGGGAAACAGGGGACCTCCCCCCCCCCGCCTTTTTATCTCCTCCTTCTTCTTTGATGGTTCTGTCTTCTTTATGTATGGTGAATTTGCGCGTATATCTTCAGGAGGGGCAGGCAGGGCACAGAACTCGAGGGAAAAGGGGTGGAAAAGCTCAGCAGTGGAGCTCACTGGACACGGATGGACGGATGGACGTGAGCTGTGCAACTCGCAGGTGGGGACGGGAGGGAGGGACTGGGAGAGAGGGAGGGAACGGAGGACACTGTGAACGAAATGCCCTGTCTGGAGTCATTGTGATCCTTCTGTACATCACCTCTATAATAACAATAAAGTTTAAAAAAAAAAAAAAGGATGTGCTGGCCTGGCCGTGGTGTCTGGGGAGACGTACTCGGGGTGCCTGGCCTGGCCGTGGCGTCTAGGGAGACGTACTCGGGGTGCCTGGCCTGGCCGTGGCGTCTGGGGAGACGTACTCGGGGTGCCTGGCCTGGCCGTGGCGTCTGGGGAGACGTACTC